TTGAAAGAAGAGTCAGTGACCCTTAACTTCATCAGGAGACTCTGTCATCAATGGTTTTGGTTTAAAATAACCATTCTTGCCAAAGAATAATTTTCTTCTGAATGTACAATTTTCAGACCACTCCTCTACAACATCCTGCCATCATATAATGCACCTGCAAGGGGTTAATCACTAAGTTGGAGAGCAGCTGAAGCACAGATAAAGGAGCCAGGATTGCTGGGCTTCTATCCCCCACTTTGCTACCAATTTTCTCCACAACCTTCAGTAAACACAGTCTAACTGGGAAAGTGTATACATCTACAAAAAACAAGGCATATAATGCTTTACCACCATAATGTGGTAACTGCAAGTTTAGTGTTCAGAAAACCACAAAGTTTTCAGATGAAAGGCAATGTGCCATTAATTTAAAAGATTTCCAAACCAAAAGACAGAACTGACTGATGAATCTCAGCTGTTCACAGAGGATGAATTGTTTAAAATAAAGTTTCACTACTTTGCCAGTTTTCTCTCATTTTTAGCACCAAAATTAGTTTACTCTTTCTATTTTCCCGTGCACTCCACAGATAAGCAGATCTGATTTACATCAATAAATGCACTAGTATTGAAGACTGGAATAAGACTACTTCCTAATTTCACACTAAAAAACCTAACCAACAACCAATAAGCAAAACAATACACAGAGTAGGAGCAAGTTTCCTTCATTGACAAAGGAAAAATTATTCATATCAACAACTGGAGAAGAGATACTAAAAATGTCCTATGTAAGCCACTTCTCAGGAGTCTATATGATAGAAACCAGCATTATTACTACTGATGCAGAGTACACAGTCTACAAATATGGCAATCCTTGTTTTACAAAAATCTGGGCCTCAGATAATTCTAAGGATCAAATTTAATGCATGTGTAGTGGGGATTTACAAGTGCGTCATTTTGTAATTTCTCTTTGAAGATGAGTCTTACCCATCTTACGTTGCCAAGTTTCATATATTTCCCATCTTATGAACCCAGTTTGGTTGGGGAAAAAAAAAAAAAAGAATGAAGTAATGCTCTGTGCACTCAAAAGGATTAACATTTGGCATGACTGAAGTGAACAGCAGCTAACAATCTTCTAAAGCATTTCACACTGAAAAGTTCGTCTGACCTTATAAAAATGAACTTATATGCAAAATCCACTGCTATGAGGCCCATACAGAAGTACTGCAAAACCAGAGTCCTTCAAGATATACCAGCAGTTCTCTGTAACTTTTCAAAAAATCTGACATGCATAACATGAGTGCTTTGAATAAATGAGTTTAATGCATTGCTATAGACAAGTAGTAACACAGCCCCAGAAGTGATCAACATGAGTAAAAGATAAATGTACAGAGGCGTCACGTTATTTGTTCTCTACTCCTTTCAATTTTTAACTTTCACAATCCTCATAGCATCAAGGACCAAGACATTCAAACTGTCATAATGTCTGTAGAAAATTCTCTGTGCTCCAAACTAAGAGACTGTGCTTTGATGTACAAGTCTTTAGACATGACAACAGCAATTGAACCAAGAGGCACTTCAAAGTAAGCTAAAACTGTAAGGTTACAAAATTCACATCAGTTCCTATAGTTCAGAAACTCAGCAAAAATTCCTTAGGTTACAACAGGAGAAAAAGAGCTCAGGATTAATTTTGAAATCTATGTCCCTCACATACTCTGAATTACTTGAGTTTTTACATACAAAATATGCTATTACCATAAAGAAGTAATGGTAAAGATGACAGCTGTTCACTAAGCACAGTATACAACAGGGCTAACAACTCTCACAAACCATGTGGTCAAGAAAATAGCAGAAGTAATGCCCCACTCAGTGGAAGACATGGTAATGTCTACCATGTAAATGACAGCTGCCTGCAAACTGGAGCATAACTCCATAAGAAGAAAGAAAGCAAGAAAAAAGACAGCTAAGCCAAATGGCAGAACCTCAGCAATCCTCATCACTCATGGAGAACTGCTGCTCATCAGTAAACACATCGCAGCTGCAGCCACACATCTGCAACTGCTAAGTAAGCACACACTTCCTACTTTTAAGAAAAAGGCAAGAAGCTTAAAAAAACCCCACAACACTGCAAAAGAAACAACAGCAACAAGAAAAAAAAACAGTACAAAAATCCCTAAGAGCTGGTTTCCACAACATAGGAAAATTTCAGAGAATCACAGAACATCCCAAGTTGGAAGGGACCCACAAGGATCATCTTTCTATATTGTAGCACCCAGAACTGCACACAGCACTTAAGGTGAGGCCACACCAGCACAAAGCAGAGCAGGACAATCACCTCACTCAACCAGCTGGTGATGCTGTGCCTGATGCTCTCCAGGATACAGTTGGCCCTCCTGGCACACTGCTGACTCATATTGAACTCACCATCGACCAGGACCCCCAGGTCTCTTTCCATGACACTGCTTTCCTGCATGTCATTCCCCAGCCTGTACACACATCCAGGGTTGCCCTGTCCCAGGATAATTTTTTCACCCCCCAAAATTCTGCATGATTTAAGGATTTTTGATACTGCAGATACGCAGTGTTTTACTTTGGAAGAATCTCAAGTAATGTTTTTCAGCACTCTGAGTCAAGATAGAGGGGGAAAAAAACTGGAAAGAATAAGAGATAGGAAAGTACTCTTTGACCATTATGTTGCCAGAAACCAAAGCAGGAAAATGTGAATGATGAATGCTTGTAAGAAAATGTTAAATATCATATTGACAACAACTTCTTACGGCATATTTTAGCTGCCAAATGAGTTTTGAAAAATATTCAAGTAAACTGATTATTTCTGTCAATAAAAGAGCTATGTTTTTTAGAATTTATAGTCATTGTACTGACTATGAAAATCCATTAACTATACAAGTGTCCTAGGTGTCTTTAGCTTCTAACTTTGTACTGTGTTTTAACCATGTTCCATGCAATTAAAAAAAAGTACTTTTGGTTAATGTAATCTTAGTTCTTCTCCTATTACCTGAAAGCAAAAAAAAAAATATTTAAATGTTCTCCAGAAGAACTTACCTAATGTAACTTTCAGCACATCCCAAAAAAAGCCATTTTTGCATATAGTAACTTTTAAATATGTTTTATAGAGCAAATATCTTTGAAATAGAAAGTAATTAGTATTTTCACCACGGGAGACAATATATACCAAGTAATGTACTTTGATTTTCTCCTTTGAGATCCACTACATAATTCAATAGTGAGTAATATGCAAAAAATCATAAGTTTATTACAAATATGTAACACTACAAGTGTTTAGCAGTCTAATCACAGGATTTACTTTCAAGGTTATTTGCTATGTTTATATAATAAATCAGTAGGGTTTCATTCAATTGCAAACACATTCCCATACCATCAACTGAACAGTGAATCTTTAGACAGTTACATCATCTGAATTATATAACCAAGACTCAGATGGGACTACCACCTATCACACAACACACTTTGAAGGCCTTCAACAAAATGAGTTGACATTTTAGCCTCACATTTTAAAAGGAAGAAATCAGGATGCATTTAAGATAATCTTTTTGACCACTGGGTGCCACTCTTGCTCTGTGTAAAATAAACTGCCTGATGCTAACTCAAGTCTTGTCAGTGGGGGCTTTTTTTCCCCCTCAGCTTTAAACGACGATTCTCCCAAATGGGGAGGAAAAGATGGACCATTTTTTACACAAGCTTCTATTAAACACTACTTTTCAAACCCATTTACTGTTGCTTTTAACCCCAAGAATGCAATTCTGAGAAGTCTAGTGCACACAGACCCTTATGTTAAATGAAGGATTGCTTTCATGGTGAGGTTATATAATAACCCAGGTATGTAATGTCTAAATTATCACACTCAAAGGAATAGCTACCTACTGCAACTGTGTAGCCTTGTATTGACACTGCTACTAACAGCTTCATATTGAGTTTGCATGGCCACAAGACTGAGGCCCTAAGCAAGCTTGTCAGGCTTGCTCTGAGCTTTTCCTGACCTGCCTGATGTTTTGTTTGTTTGTTTGTTTTTTTACTAACTGCAGATTTAACAGCAATTTTTCTAACTGACCAGGTGTCTATAACCAACTTGGTTTACTTTTGTTGACCTTTGCATGGTACAACCACAGTTCATATACACAACGGTAAGAGGAGTTATTCTATATTTATGACTAACACCATGATGCACTATATACAAATACAGGCCTGGTATAATAGCAGATGTCTCAAATAGTGAAACGCAGGATTTGGCACATAAAAGCACAGCCATGAGATGACATTCCAAGATTAGACTGCTCATACTTCAGTTATACTAACAATCAATTCTTGTCTGGATACTTAAGGTGAGTTTCCACAAATTTTGAGTGTTCTCTGCACTTTATTTGCCATCTCAAATAATCCCATCTTGAACATAACACAGCTATGCCTGCAGTGAAAGCCCTACTGTTTAATACTAGCCCTTATATTTCACAGACAGGAACCTGAGGTACAGACTAAGAAGGGCTCACAGAAATTAATATAACATATGATGGAAATACACACTCATCAGTTCAGCTGAGAAAACAGGGAGGTCAGAATGAGGCTGTGGTGAACTTCATAATCCCATTACCCACCTCATCAACCTTTAAAATGGCACAAGTATCTTTCCATTGGATTGTGGTGGCAAGGTACTGCAGTCACAGATGCAAATAATAGACCAGAGAATTCTCTGAAGTCACGTAAAGTGTGACTAATCAGAGAGATGCACTAAATTACTTACAGTCCTATGTTAACATTCTAAAGATGTGCTTCATATCCTTACTAAACAAATGCTTAGAGACTTTCACGTCATACATTTAATTTGTATTTCAAACAACTAAAAATCATTTTTCCACTATTGTCTTTTACTTCAATAAATGCCCTTTCCCTGTCATTTCAGTGCTCTGCTCTACCAACTGTTTTGATAACAAAGTAAAATGCCCTAAATATTCCCAACATACACATGGCCCTACTGTAGTCTGATGAAATACCTGTATTCAGGCTGCCGACTTGAAGGATGATCACCCCTTGCCCATCTGTATCCTGATTCATCCTGTAAAACATACATGCAAAACAACTGTGTGACATGTATCTCAACATCAGATGTCAGGTACAGTTAGTTGCCAAATGATAACTTATTTACTGCAAAACCAAAGCATTTAATGAGCTAAAAAAAAAAGCATTCACGACTCACAGCAAGTATCCTCTCAATTTATTCACTGTACCCCCTTCCTCTTATTTACTTCCTCTATCAATCCTAAAGAGAGCAACTTCGCAATGCTGTACAAAACAGAAAAACTGCAAAGTTTCCAAACTATATATGTATGCTCTGACTTAAAGAAAAATTCCCTTTTTGAAATATAAATTATTATCATTACCTTTAAATTAAAGGATTTCAAATAGATGGGTTGCAGGGGACAACAGTAATGACCTTCACACAGGATCATAAATTTTGTAGTTAAGTATAGCTACTGGGGAAAAAAATGCATTCAACATCATGACATAATTTAACTAAGTGAACAACTGTGTGAACTAGAAGGATGTGCAGACTACAGTCAACAAGTTGCACATGCAAGGGCTTGTTAAATAGAAAGCTTTGGCAATCATTCTTCTATTCATCCAGGTAACTGCACTGCATTACACAGAAGGCTTCTGCACAGTTTTGTTTCCCCAGTTCACACGATGAGCTTTCCACATCCAAAACCTGGATGTTTTTCTCTATTAATTCTATTTCGGTTTATGAGAACAGCAATAACGTCAACGCTCTGAAACAATATTTTAATTGTTTAGTATTCAAGCATTAATGAGAAGATAAACATCATAAACGTGTGAGAAGAATCACCTTACGTACACCTCGGTGTGGAGGGCCATTTCTTCGGTCATGGGCAAAACCACGACCCTCTTCATAGTCTCTGTACTCAGCATGATCGTAATCATCATAGCGGCTGTAATCCCCATCCCCTGGTCTCTCAAGCAGTGGTGGTCTCTTGGGCATAACGTTTACTATTCTATGGTAATCACCCTAAACCACAAAAGAAACAAAATCATATTGCTTTTAACAGCTGAAAATCTGCAGTGAATAAACAGAAGTAAAAACAACAAGTTATTATATGGGGCTATAATAATCTTAAAAGACGAAGTTGCATAGAGGAACAACAAATATCAAAAACCATGCAGTCTGAGAGTGGAATAACTTATTTAATATAATTGGACACCACTCAGATTCAGTCCTTAGGCATTACAAGTTTAATTATAGAGTGAAATTTTTCAACATGGTTTAATTTTCTTTTGAAAGTTTAAAGCAGTAGCATTAGCTACTTTGTAACCATCAGCTACCTGTTCTTTTTAAGAATTTGCTCCATGTATTTCTCAGAGACTTTGGATTACAACATTAACTCTGGAATACAACAAAGAAAGTTACATCTGTAATGCCTGTAAAACAAAGAGCCTATTTGAAAATACTAACAATTTTCTTAATGTCCATAACATCCTCCACACTTCAGAGATTATAATAAAGACAGCCCTTTCTTCATAATGTGAATAGATAAGCACCCAGCATTTGTTATAAACATTTCCTTCTATACTTTAAGCATCGTAATAAAAAACTGGATTGGTGACAAGAACTTTACCACCTCAGATTACTTCAAAGAAGTATTAACATAAAAAGAAAAGACTGTGGAAAAATATTACATAGTATGGTCTTTTGTTCTCCAGAAATTATTAAAAATCCTGTGTTTAATAGCACAAAGAATTACATCAAAAATCAAGTTAGCAAAATGCAAGTAATCTAAAACAATTCCAAAATATTAGAAAATAAAAAAGAACACGAGTTAATTTTGGAGGCATCCTATTATTTCTATGTAGATGCATTTGCTAGATTGTTGGCTTACAAGAATGAGAAAACAAAGTAACTTGGGGTATACTAGGAACTTATATAGGTATGTAAATCCAACCCTTAAGGTACAAGTCATTGTATAGAGCTATAATGTAACACCATAGCAGGAAGAAACTTACTATACACTTACATCACCATGAATCCTTGGAGGGAGACGTTCTCTTGGAACTCTTTCATAGTCGTATCGCCCTTCAGACCACATTTCATCTCTTCGATATGCCACTAAAGACAATTAAAATCCAGTCAGTGAAAATCAGACTCATGAATAGATAAAAGAACAGTGAGCACAGAAGTATGGGACTTCTCCCAATATGATGCATTATGTGCAAACCCTATATGTACACTTTTTATTATCAGCCCTTTAAAAATAAGTCTTTCTAGTTATAGAAAGTAATTAATGTGCTTTAAGCAAAAACAACTCACAGTATGTGCAAGAACTACCAAACAAGTGGAAATTAGTGTGGTATAATCAGTTAAATTACAGGACTTACAGATACTATAAACAGCTCTAGTGCAATATACGCATATTGCAAATACTAGCTGTACATATAAATTCATACACACATACCTCAGAGCAATTTTAATACTGCTTTGCTAAAAATATTGGACTTTAAAAAAAAAACCAGTTCAGTTCTCATTTGTTAAATAATTTCTATAATAAATATAATTAATATAATAACTTAGACTAAATTATTTCATCAACTCAGCCATCTGAAAAGAGGTTAAAATGCAACATATCATTCACTTAGTACAAAGCTCTGCATTTTGATTACATGAATGAAACGTTCTTCACATGCAGATTTTTCCTGTCTTAAACTGGGAGCCAGCAGAATATAAATATTCCTCTTTCTAGAGAAAGGTGACTTTCAAAGTCAAAATTAGTAATTAAAGACAGGTGGAAAGAAACCATCACCCTAAGAGATTGTAGTCATGCTGTGTTAGACCACACAGACTTGAGTAGCTCAAACCTTTCTGATGATTATAAAGTTGACAATTTATCTACTATACATCATTGAAAATAGAGAAGCAATTGCTAGAGTTATATTTTTCACAGCTTCCCCTCACAATAGTAGTTCTAGCTATTAAAAATAATAAGTAACAGCAGGTCATATTCAGAAGGAGAAATACATAACATTATCTACTTTCACAAAATAAAAACACTTCACTGGAAATAGACTTCTGAGGCTATATAAAAAATTTATTAATACAGATGTTAAGAATCAACATGACAAAAGGGTTTATTAACTATAAACAGAGGTAGCACTAAGTCAGATAACTATTTTTGTGAAAAACAATGAACACTCACATACTTACTTTTCTGTCAATTTTACAAACTCTCCTTCTGAAGATTCATTCACTTCACTTACCTACAAAAAAAAGAAACAGAAGTTAGCAATAAAAGTATATATTCATCAAAAGTACATTTTTTCTTTTAAGTAAACCAGATACATAAAATGTAAATCTTTTAACCGCCTCTCCCCATGATCTGTCCAGATAAGTAGAGTTATTCACTATACTCAATTAAGAAAGAATATCAACTACTCAGCTGCATTCACAACATCAAAAAACTTCCTGTGACAAATTATTACAGATAAAACACCTTCCTAATAAATTAAAGAATTTTTTCCCTTTTGTCATCTTTTACTCACTATTTCAAGTCCCAGTTTTTCTTCCATTCATTAGCAAAAGCTTTTGGAAACTACTGTAACCACTTTCCTAGATACACTCATATTTAATATATTCACTTAATGTATATTTATTTAACTGCCTTTCAAAATCATTAAGTAAGAAAAATAAGACTCAGTTGCATGTGATGAGAGGTTAATGAAAACTTTGATTTAACAAAGGCTTTTCCTTTGGTAATAGATAGTAAAAACTGACAAAGCAGCTCTTTCCTCAACCGTAATAAACACGTTCAGAGACTTTGACCCTGCCACTAGTACAAATTAATCAGAGTATCCTCTGAAAACACTGTTCTGTTTTATAACAGACTTGACCTTAAGTCTGTTCCATAACTGTAGTGGGTTGACCCTGGCTAGATGCCATGCACCCACCAAAGCCACTCTATCACACCCCTCTGCAAATGGACACAAGAGAAGAAACACAAAAGGTTCATGAGTTGAGGTAAGGACAGGGAGAGATCACTCACTGAATACCATCACGGGCAACACTGACTCAGCTTGAGGAAACTAAGTGATTTTATCACTAATAAGATCAGAGCAGGAAAAAGAGCAGACCTTAAAAATACGTTCCCCCACACCTCCCTCCTTCCCAACTCTACCTCCTGCCCCTCAGCAGCACAGGGAGATGGGAGTGGAGGCTACAGTCAGTTCATCACACATTTCTACCACTGCTCAGGGAGAGGAGTCCTTCCCCTGCTCCACCATGGGAGACAGCTCTCCGTGAACTTCTCCAACGCGAGTCCTTCCCACCAGCTCCAGTTCTCCACAAACTGCTGTAGTGTGGGTCACTGTCCACAGGGTTCAGTCCAGTCCCTCAGGGACAGCCTGCTCCAGCATGGGTCTTCTCTCTTCACAGGTCCCTACCTAGAGCTTGGCCCACCATGGGCTTCCCATGGCTTCACATCCTCTATTTGGGCATTCACCTTCTCCAGCGTGGGTCTCCTCCACGAGCTGCAGGTGGATCACTACACCCTGTTAACCTCCATGGGCTGCAGGGGCACAGCTGCTTCACCATGGTCTTCCCCACAGGCTGCAGGGGATCCTCAGCTCTGGCACCTGGAGTACCTCCTCCCCCTCCTTCTCCACTGTCTTTGGTGTCTACATGGTTGTTCCGCTCACATATTCTCACTCCTCCCTCCTCAGGCCACAATTCCTTCTGTGCAATAACTTTGGTTTCCTTCTTAAATATGTTATCAGAGGTGTTACTACCACCACTGACTGGCTAGGCCATGCTGCAGTGGCAGGTCCATCCTGGAGCTGACTGGCATTGGCTCTGTAAGACATGGGGAAGCTTCTAGCAGTTTCTCACAGAAGCCACTCTTGTAGGCCCACCAACACTGCCAAAAACCTGGCCATGCAAAACCACTACACAAGATACAGAACTAGTCTGATGTAGCCAAAGAATATAAATCAAAAGTCGATTAAACCAACCAGCTGGTCCTAGTTTTAGTAAGGGCAAGAGCCAGAGGAAAGAGCAGAATTTCAGCCTTTTTGACCATGGGGCATATTCTGTGTTGCCAAGCCTGCTAGAGTCAGATGGGCTTCATCTCTCTAGCAGGGGCAAAAGAACCATAGCCCATAAATTGGCAGGGCTGATTAGGAGGGCTTTAAACTAGGTTGTAGTCAGGTGGGGGATGGTCTCTTCTCCCAGCCAACTAGCAGTAGGACAAGAGGGCACAGACTCAAGCTCTGCCAGGGGAGGTTTAGGTTAGATAGTAGGAAGAGACTTTTTATGGAGAGAGTGATCAGGCATTGGAATGTGCTGCCCAGGGAGGTGGTGGATTCACCATCCCTGGAGGTTTTCAAGACGAGACTGGATGTGGCACTTAGTGCCATGATCTAGAAATGATGGTAGGGTTGGACCTGATGATCTTTGAGGTCTCTTCCAACCTGGCTGATTCTATGATTCTACGATCTGCTGTCCCTATCCCCTCCAGCATGCTCCACATAACAGTTCCTAATTCCAAAACCACTGCTCATATTGCTGTATTGGATGGCAAGGTGTATTATCAGAAGCACCTTCCTCACACTTTCACAGTAACTGCCCCAACTTTTCTCTGTTGTCTCTTACAGGGACTTCTGCTAAAGCCTTAAAAATTCACACCAGGTGCAACACATGCATGAACTGTTTTCAAGCCAACTAACTCTGTGCCCTCCTTCCCGTGTTACTGGGAAGGTGCTCTATCTGCTTTCGTGCTGTCCCCACTGTCCTCTTTTCCTTGTGTCTAGAACAGAACCTCAATACTCCTGTGTTTTACCTGTACTGGAAGGGATGGAATTAGCTGAGGCAAGACAAAAGCATTATGCTGGAACACCACTGCACACTTTCTCAAAACACCAACACCCCATCACACATCTCTGGCAGCAGGCACCAACATTCACGTACATGCTCTGCTATACTATCAGGCAGCTAGGTTGATAAAATACTCCCATTTTTATCAATTTCCCCTCCTCCCCTCATACCTGAGACAGGTAGAAAACACTGAAGAGACACAGTCCTCTATTGGTAAGATGAAAAAGTAGAAGCGTAAGAGCAGAGGGAAAAATCCACATCAGTACATAAAATACTGTGAGGGAGGCACTAAGAAAAAAACAGAGATTCAGAAACCACCTGTCCCTCCCAATAACAAATAGCCAGTCACATTGCTATGCACATTCAATCTAGACACCAAATAAGGTAAGGGAAGACACTTTCTTCCAATCTTTCCCAACTCAGTCACAGTAATTCTGACTTACAATAAAAGAAAGAAAAAAAAAAAACCCATTTAAAAAAAATCACTGACCACAAAAGTCAAATTAACACCTGACTCAAAGGGAGAAAGAACTCAGACTGAATAAGCAGCAACAGTCTGATGAGGATTTACAGTCCCACTGGTTCCATTTTCTTATCACATCATTCTAATATATCACTGGGAGCAATGGGCTGGGGTTGTACTACACAATGACCAATGTATTAGCACTTATCTTAGCCTGAGTACCTGCAGTTACCACCTCTCCTTCATCAGTGCCAATGCCATGAAAGGACTGTTCTACCAGGACATGATGGAGCTGCTGTGCTGGCAATGTCAATGCAAAATACTGCATGGCTCACTGCCTCCTCCATAGCTTTGTCTTGCAGCAAGAGCACTTGGACAACAAAATCATCTCTCCATACTGCTGTCTTAATAGCTCAAAACTGCAATGCTCTCAATTACTCTTGAAAGGGCCACCCAACTCAGTACTTTACCCACGGCAAATCACTGTATCAAACTGTCCTAATTGCTTGCACTGGTGGTGTGGATTTCCACACCTCTTTTCGCATTTCTGACAGTCTTTTTTCCCCTGAAGTCCCAGACACACCAGATAAAGAACTATTATAAGACTATCCATAAAGACTCTAATGGATGGGAAAGTACCTACTTAAGGAGTATCAGTGAGAACAAAAACCATGGAGAGCAGACTTAAGGTGTTTAAACACTAGTAAGGACTTTAAATATTACAGTACTGTGAAGTTAACCATAAATATTTATTCTGGCACTTC